AAGCGACGCCTCCCGGCGTGCCCCGCGCGCGCGGCCGCCCCGCCCCGGAAACCGCGCGCGGCCGTGACGGGTGACGGTTAAACCGCCCCCTGCGCCCCGCGCCGTTAATTCCGTTAATAATCCCCTTAATTCCGTTAATAATCCCGTTAATTTAACGTGATCTTGTCGGAAGGGGCGGCTGGGGAGCGCTCCCGGGAGTGCCCAAGTAGAGCAGCGATATCAGCGCGTGGGTTATGGCAAATAGTGCTGAGGAGACAGGCAGTACCAAGTGGTGTTTCCACGCTTAAATAAAATCCCTTTCTCACACGGATATAACAGTCCCCCCATTAGATTCTTGCCCCTTAATTAACTAGCTGTCCTGAGGCTTCACCTCTACGGATCCACTGTAAACAGATGGCTCCACAATATGTAAAAGCTGATAGGGGCAAGGAAATACATATGCAAAGGAAGAAGATTTGGGAGTCTTTAACTACAGAATTCTCCTGATGAGTGCTTGGAATAGAAGAGGCACTGTTCTTTCTCTTATTGGAAGCAAGTATAGGATATTTGGACCTCTGTCACAGCAGGATTTCACATCTCCAAAAAACTAACAGATCAGTCCACATCTGAACTTGCGAAAAGTTCAAACGTTTGTTGTTTTTACCTGACTCATCAACAGAGGCCCACCAGAGATTGCTGTTAGTTTTAAAAATGCATAGGCCCAAAAAAGGGAGCTTCTGTCAATGAGAATATCACGCTAAAATAGTAGAAGAAGCCTCTGGGTTTCACAGAGCCGTGTCCAGCAGGCAGAAGGTGCAGGAACCGGTTTCGGTGTTTCCTGAACTGCGGGCCGATACCAGAGATATCAGCCTGATGTTCCCTGTAAGTCATGGCATGAGGCAAAATAAAAAAGGTTTTCGTGGCTGCTTCATGGTTGAGTCGCATTACGTGTTTTCTTTTTCCAGAAAGTCCCTGGTTACAGCTCTTATTGCAAATATTTACATCAAAATGTATAGTCTCCCCCTTGACACTGAGGCAGGACAATAAAAACTTGGCACTGCGAAACCTCAGCCCTGCAGCCCCCTCTGCGGATCTGAGGGGCTCCGAACGCCTCGCGTGTGGCCAGGGCAGGAGGCTGCTTGAACAAAACGACATTTTCAGGTAGTTTTGCTGTTTTTCAAAACGTGCAAAGAATTTGGCTTTCTTCAGTGTGTCCCAGCGACACCAGGGTTTTGGTTCTGCAAAACTAAACGGCTTTCAAAAATATTAGTGCTTGCTAAAATCAAATCAAGACATCCAAATATTTCTAAGACTATCAAAAACGACTAACTTACATTGTATTTACCTGCTGCAAGACGTTGTTCCCGAGGAAAGGCTTCCAAGTTTCACTTGAACTGGGCTGATCTCCAGTGACTGAAGCTTCGCTCACACGGTGCCCGGTTGAGCACCCGTTGTTTTAATATAATCCGATAAGAACAGTGAAACCATGAAAGAAATCTGTCATGCTGTCTTGTTAAATGCACTTGGAATGATTCTTATTATTATTGCAATAGCTGTCAAGCTAAGGTGTCTCTTGATTCCAGTGAAGGTGTGCACTGATCTTACAGTTTTATGCATCCTTTTCAGTTTAGGGAAGAAACCCTGTGTTTAGGGAAGAAACCGCTGCACCCGGACACGTTGTGTGCTGGTTTGCAGTGAAATCGAGGGAAAGGCCCCAAGTCTTCAGGAGACTCGAGTCACACGCCAGGAGGGTGGCCGGTGGCAAGAGAGAAACATCGGGACGTGGCAGGGACTGCAGCACCTTGAAAAACCAGGGGGAAAAATCAGTTCTTCCTTTTCTAATATTGGGATCTTCCCAAGGATTTCAGCCGTTTTTCTTTTTTTTTTTTTCTGGCCCTTCAAGCTCTTTGTCTTTCCATCGCTCCAGGAAAGATGTGGATCTGTTCCTTTAAACCAGAACGTGTTGGTGCCTGCTGGGACGTCGCCTGTCCTCCGAGTAAACCTCCCTACTCTTGGTGCCACTGCTGTATCAACAACAATTACAATAATAACGATAATTTACACGTTAAGGGCCGTATGTGACATGAGCTGAGTATCACTTGATGGGAGGAACCCAAGTATTGCTTGACAAAGGCTAGATTAGGATAAAGCAGATCACAACTTCAAAAATAGGAGAGGGAAATGATGGGATAAAAATGAAAGGGGTTGCTGCAAACATTGGTGTACAGAGTGTCTATGGTGATGGTCTCTGTAGAAGTGCCAGCCTGACCATTTCAGCGTGGTTATTTGCCACCGTTTGGCTGTTTCTGTTAAAATACACCAGGGTTGACTTTTTGTGTCACTTCTCTATAAAAAAGATTAGCAGGAACTCAGGCTATGATGTTGTGAAAAGAGGGGGTTTCTACGCTCTGATTTGATTTCTCTGCCTTTAGCTAAAGCTTGCCCACAAGTCAAGACATAACGGAATACATTTTCATTTGTTTTTCAATTAGATTCATAATATATGCCCTGGTAGCTATGTAAAAGACATACAAAAAATTTACATAATGCCCATATAAGTCTTTTTGCTAATGAGTCAAGTCCCAAATGAAGAGCACTAATAATACATTAGTAATCAAAGAGCAAATAACAGCGGCGAACATATCTCTGCAGAGCAGTTGTGTGGCTCCATTTCCTACTGTCACTGTCAATGCATGGAAACAGTAATTAACATGTCGAATTTAATGTTTAAATTTTAATAAATTTAAATGTAATAAAATGCTTTTATTAAACATTACAGTTCCTTGAAACCTATTATTACTTGTGTCTGATGCATAAATAGAAAATACATTGTCTTATTGAAAAACAGTTTTTGCTTTCTACAGGACAGGTAAAATGAGGTCTTCCAGCAAGAACTTGTTAACACAGAAGCCAAAGATAATTGCTGATTGCATTAGGAACTGAAGACTAGAGCATTTATAACCATATAGTGTTTATTGAGAATATAAGGGCCTTATCCAAGTCTATTGAAAACACTGAAAAGT